CATTATACCACGAAACCCTACAAATGGTGACTCCCGGAGATTCGCACTCACACAGGATGGAGGAGACACTGATCACGCTCCCAGTCTTCAAGCAGCATAGAAGACTGGCTTACCACGAAACCCTACAAATGGTGACCCCCGGAGATTCGCACTCACACAGGATGGAGGAGACACTGATCAGTGATCACGCTCCCAGTCTTCAAGCAGCATGGAAGACTGGCTTATCCACACAGAAGCAGCTCTGCTACTCTAAGCAGACACCAGCTCCTCTTCCTGCCCAAAGCACCACATCCTACCGAACCCAGCACACCTGTCCTGCCTCAGACGCCGACCCCGGCCCAGCAGTAACCCCTGCCGCCCCTGACGCGGCCTTTGTTCCTGAGTGCGGACCCACACACACCCCTCTTTTCTCCCTCAGGTACTCCCTGCTAATGTCCTGCACCCTGCTGCTGTCGTGGACCCAGCTGCTGTCACGAGCCCTTATCCGCTTCTGCTGACGCAGCCCCTGCTCCTGACCCAGGCCCACACACCCCAGCAGGCGCATCTGACGACTCAGTACCTGCCGTGAGGGAAGCACAACATTCATCGCCTCCACACACCCTCTTTTCTCCCTCAGGTACTCCCTGCTAATGTCCTGCACCCTGCTGCTGTCATGGACCCAGCTGCTGTGACGAGCCCTAATCCGCTTCTGCTGACGCAGCCCCTGCTCCTGACCCAGGCACACACACACCCCAGCAGGCGCATCTGACGACCCTGTACCTGTCGTGAGGGAAGCACAACATTCATCGCCTCCACACACCCTTTTTCTCCCTTCTCCCACAGATAGTGTGTATATTGACAGTTGTAATCAGCGACCAGGCTCATTCACGCCATCGCCGTTGTCTCACATGAGGCATGCACCGCCCGTTCTGCCTCACATGTGCTAAGCAACTCTACAAACAACAAGTCTCCTACACCGCCTGGAGGGAAGGGGGAGTATTGCAGTGGACGTCTCCCCTACAAACTGAGTAGCTGCAGGCCACCTGCGACGCCTTCCCTAGCAACCAAACTAGCGGCAAGCGAGCGGCGTCACCAGATGCCACCATATCCTAGCAACAGAGGCAAAAGACCGGCTACTTTCTGGGTTTTCCCTACATGACTCACGGCTGCTGGGTATATAAGCTCTGTCTCTCCATTGAGATTCATTTCTGGCCTCTCTCCTTGAACACGCAACACCTCCTCCTCCGCCGCTGCCTGGCCTGGCGGTCCTCGCTCCCGCCAGCGAGCATGGCGACCCACCAGCTGTCCTTCTCTGAGCTTCCTCACCAACCAGCTCTTTCATTCTGCTCTCGGTTCCTGAACACGCAACACCTCCTCCAGCAAGCTCCTCGCTGTCCAGCTTTCATTCAACCAGGAGGCCAGCAACAGGCAACATCTTCTCTAACGAAGCTCCTGCACATCTACCTCCTTCAACACGCTACTCACCGAACGTCTCTACTGAGCAGCTCCTCACCACACGGCACCTCCAGCACCAGACTGTCTATCATATAACTTATATTATACAAGAAAACCACCTTAGAGTTTCCATCCATCCTGAGTGCTAGACAACATTATACCACGAAACCCCACAACAGTATAGATCATTTTCGACACACCAGCTTACTCGCCGTTAGGGCGGTCTACCCAGCGTTAATACAGGAAGAAACCTGGGACCAGCAAACCTGTGATGTTTGGTAGGGTCACAGTGAATGATAACACCTTTCTCACATGTGTCTGGGTCGAGGCTCGAACCCTTGACATACAGTGTATGATGAAAATTACGCGTATTACTGCTGTACCGCCACCAGTGAGCTTTACATGATGTGTCATTATACCAGATTATTCATTAAAAAAAATTTTTATGTAGTCTGTAGGTTATGGACCTCCAAATTTAGATATCTAAGAATAATGCCTCAAAGCAGCACATTAATTATTTTACAGAAAATTATAATAATTGCCAACCTAGGGAATATATTACTTCCAGTAAAGCGACAGTGGTAGCTACACCTTTTCACCAGTTTTACACCATTTGATTAAAATTATATGTATCACAGACGATTAACCAATGCATTTTATTGTAGCTGTGTTTAACAGGCTAATATTTTATCATTGATATAAAGAACATCACTGTTTTTACAAGTTTGTGCTCACTATAGTTTATTGGCGTTTTTAAAAAAGTACAGTACAGGTATAGCCTGAAAATTGCACAACTACCAATGGATTATTGGAAATTTTAAGACCGGAGGTTTTAAGATTAGGCTGCTACAGTGAAAAAAAAATAAGATCAGGTCACATTATTGGAAGTTTGAATAATAATAATAGTAATAATAATAATAATAATAATAATAATAATAATAATAATAATTATAATAACAAAATTGTCATACAGATTCTCAATTGGCTAGTTATGCATATAAACTATGCAGGTGTACAGTAAAGCATGAAAATATAAAATGCAGGTATACGGTGTATGTAGGCCGTGGAAGTATACACTTTCGTATGCGCTTCCTGAGGCGGAAAACTTCCTCCCAGAATCTCAATGTGGCTTTTGACCATCACATGGCACCACTGGCCTGATCTTTGCTGCCCACCAGATACAGGAAAAGTGCAGAGAACAGCGTCGTGACCTGTACATGGCCTTCATCGACCTAACCAAGGCCTTTGACTCGGTCAACAGGGAAGCCCTCTGACGGACCCTCAGCCATTTTGGCTGCCCACCAAAATTCATTGCCATTGTGAGGCAACTCCACAATGGCATTAACGGCAGTGTCCTGCACGATGGTACCCAGTCTGAGCTCTTCCCCATCCAAACGGGGGTAAAACAATAATGTGCACTGGCATCAACTCTCTCTTCCATTTTCTTGGCTGCCTTCCTTACTCGCTCCAGTGCCAATTTAGCCGGCGGGGTAGACATCCAGTACCGGATGAAGGGTCTTTTCAACATAAGAAAACTCCAGGCAGGAACAATGGTGTCGGCAGCTTTCATTTCTAAACTTCAGTATGCAGATGACCTCACCCTTGTCGCTCACACTGAACGCGACCTACAGGAGATCCTGAACGCCTATGCAGATGCATATGCACACTTCAGCCTTGAGGTGAATGTACATAAGACTCAGATTCTCTTTCAGCTTGCCCCTGGTTCGACTACATCTCCACCTTCCATCCAGCTTAACGGTACTACCCTCTCTAATGCTACCCAGTTTAAGTATCTCGGCTCCCACTTGTCCACCACTGCGGATATCGATAAAGAGATTCAACATCGGATCAGATGTGCATCTCAAGCCTTTGGCAGACTCCATACCCGTGTCTCCAGCTGTAGGAAGCTGAAATTATCTACAAAGCTGCACGTATATCGAGCAGTGGTCCTCCCCATCCTGCTATATGGACGCGAGATATGGGTCACATGCAGGAGGCACCTCAAAGCATTTGAAAACTTTCATCAATGTAGTCTACGTTCCATCCTCCGAATTTTCTGGGAAGAAAAGAGAACAAATGCCAGCATTCTCGCTGACACCAACTGTAGGAACATCAAGGCTACAATTATACCATAAACAACTACGTTGGACTGGCCAGTGGCCATGTTACCTGCATGGACGACAGTAGACTGCCAAAGCCGCTACTTTACAGTCACATAATGAATAGTAAACCTTAATGCTGGTGGGCAACTGAAAAGATATAGGAATAGTCCTAAGACAAACTTGAAAAAGTGCCACATCGACCCCCTCACCTGGGAGACGATTACTCCACACCGTCCCGCTTGGAAGGGCACCACTCTTGAAGGCGTCAATACTTTCGAGTTAGCCCAACTGCAAACCGAGGCAGAAAAGCGCCAACGCCGGAAAGACGCTGCCGCCGCCCCTCCCGCACTAGATATAACCCTCCTCATGTGCAACATCTATGAACGAATCTGCCAGTCACGTATCGTCCTCTCTAGTCACCTCAGAGCTCACCAAGGAAGATGACATCCTCAATAACTCATATCATTTTATCATAGGTGGATGATCGTCATACTCGATTCCGAGTGATAGCAAAATAGTAGTAGACAGAGCAGGCTTACAACAGGCAATTTAACCAAAGATAAGCCGATAAAGTTGACAGGGGGATCCAATGTTTAGGCTACGTAATTTCCAGTGGCATATCTAGACATTTACAAAGTGAGGGGTGCAGCCTACTGAAAACAAAACATAACAGTATCCTGCTCATTTTATATATCATATTGATACTCTAATGTTAGCTAGCAATTCTGAAGAGTGAATCGTTATCAATACTAAATGCATTAAATAAAGAAAGAGCTCATAAAAATTAATGAAGTCAGCATAGACAGAAGAAGGTTTACGATTCACCTCTTTGGATCCTTTGTAAATCTGAAGAAAATCATGTTTCTATTCCTTTTGGTGTTGCCGGAACAATTTGTAGCTACACAGTAATATGTAACCCCCCCCTCCCCACTCCTTTCCTTTAAGGAGCTATTACACTTGTGCATTTTTTCTCCAACTCGTTTTTTGAGGGTTGTAAAACTACCGTATATTTGGATTTCCTCCAGCTAAGCTTGACGTATGAAACTCTTTTGTAACCCTGATTTTAAATAAAATATTTGATAACCTTTGTGTTTAAGCTGGTATAAACAATAAGGACTAGGGTGGATATTAACGGTTGAACCCCTTCACTACGGAGTAGCCGCTTTTAATATTTAATTTGGCTAACGTCAGACGATTTTATTGAGCTTAGAGGGGGTGCCAGTAGTACACAAGAGATTTTGATTAATATTTACCTGAAAATTAATAAGCTGTCATTTATTTCGAGCCGCATCCACTAAATGTAGTTCTCGTTTCTGCAAATCTAACAATGACAATTAACAGTTATGAACTACTTTACAGGTTAAAGAATTAGAATAATGGCTTTTCTTTTTTATACAACCTGGAGTGCCCTTTCCTACCCAGGTAAATCCTCCAGTAAATCTTGACCACGGTGATTTATTGCAGACATGTATGAGAAGAGTGGATTCCATCAGGAGCTGGGTCGTCGTGTGTTTTATCCCACACCAGCCTCATCTGCTCTCAGCTGGTTAGATGCCTACTCTGCCTGTAAGGAAATGTGGGCATCCTTCCTGATGCCCCTGACACAGCAGGAGTGGGACTGGATGAAAGGAGTTGCTGCCAACAATGGTTACAATGAAATGTGGGTTGGCATCATGGAGGGTTACGAAGAACAAGGGTCATACTTCTGGATGCAAGCGTTGGAAACTTTCATTGGTAAGTTGCGTAGCTCCTGCCTTTACCCCCTCCTCCACTTTCATTTATATTTAACATTGTGAAGTTGTCTTAAATGTTCAATTATTTGAATGCCTCATGCAATGTCCTGTGCTAATTAAAAATGCCCTTTGTGTTTAATTAATATTTCAAATTTGTTTCTGTAAAACAGAAATTAAGTTTTATAAATCAATATAGTCATTAATTAAGAGCTTTTGCATTATCATGAATAACAGTTTTTATAAAATAAAGCTGACTGTTTTGTTACGCAACAAACAGAAGTCATAATATACATCATCGCAAATTTTATACTTCAAAGTCTTGATAAAAAGAGAGAGAGAGAGAGAGAGAGAGAGAGAGATGTTCATAAGAGTCCCGGCCCTGACATGGTGCATCCTAGAGTGCTAAAAGAGTTGAGCAACGAGCTTGCCGAGCCCCTGAAGATCCTGTTTTGTAAATGCCTGGATGAACGACAGGTCCCCAGTGAATGGAAAGTGGCTTATGTGAGTCCTATCTTCAAGAAGGGCGATCGTCACTCCACGAACAACTATAGACCGGTGAACCTGACCAGCATAATATGTAAAGGATTTGAGAGTATTATCAGAGATGCCGCGATAGAACATCTACTACCTACTGTAAAGGATTGCCAACACGGTTTTATGCCGGGGCGCTCCTGCTTAACACAATTGCTCAAGGTATTGGATATTTGGACCCATATTCTGAAACGGGGTGGTAATATCGACAATATTTACCTAGATTTTGCCAAGGCTTTCGACAGTGTACCCCACGAAAGGCTGAAAATCAAACTGGAAGGGTACGGACTTCGGGGAAATGTCCGAGCGTGGGTAGAAGACTTTCTACATGACAGCAAGCAATGTGTGGTGATTAATGGCACGAAATCATCATCCGTACGTGTCACAAGCGGGGTACCACAGGGCAGTGTATTGGGCCCGCTGTTGTTTGTTTGTTTCACAAATGACATGCCTGGCGTTGTACACTCCTCCATACAAATGTTTGCCGATGACGCCAAGTTATTTCGGAAATCAAGAACCAAGCAGACTGTGAAGAGCTGCAAAAGGACCTCTGTAGGCTCCAAGAATGGTCGAAGAAATGGCTGCTGAGATTCAATGTCACGAAGTGTAAGAGGATGCACCTGGGGCGTACCAACAGTAAGGAGGCGTATCATATGTCCCAACGGGATGAAGAAGCTGCACTATTTGAGACTGAATGTGAGAAGGACCTAGGTGTGTATGTTGACAATGAGCTGAAGTTCTCGGGCCATTGCGAGAAGAAGGTAAATCAGGCAAATAAATTATTGGGTCTTATAAGAAGGTCGTTCAGATATCTAGACAGTCCGTCCCTCGTAACGATCTTCAAGAGTGAAGTGCTTCCCCATCTGGAGTACTGTCATCCCGTCTGGTCCCCGAGATATGCTAAGGACTGTCAGTTGGTTGAAAATGTTCAAAGGAGGGCCACCAGGCTGGTGCCTGCCCTTCGGCACCTCAGCTACCCTGAGAGATTGGAGCGCCTGAACTTGCCTAGCTTATACTACAGACGGGCAAGGGGTGACCTAATAGAGGTGTATAAGCATCTCAAGGGGCACTACTCAGTCGAGTGTCCTTACTTGGAGCTGATGGACGCTCGCCCCACAAGGGGTCACAGCTCAAGATTGAAGAAGCCGCAAGTCCAGAAAACTGTGAGAGCAAATTTTTTCGGAGTGAGAGTTGTGAACTCTTGGAACAATCTACCAGAAAGTGTTGTGACGGCACCGAGTGTGAGCTCTTTCAAGACAAGACTTGGCCAACACTGGAGCGGGTTCAGGTACATTCAGGAGCTGGTGCATGCCCAGTACTTGCCAACATTGCGTAACAGAGACGTGACCGATCGCCCAAGCGGCTGACGAGCCGCTCTTTTGGTGAAGAGGATAAAAGAAAAGGAAAAGTAATCAGAGACGTGACCTATCGCCCAAGCGGCTAACGAGCCGATCAGTGGTGAAGAGGATAAAAGTAAAGTAAAGTAAATACAATCAGTTAATCAAAGGCACTCTTCAAAAACTAATATGTTTTACATATTATTCATACAATTATACTATTATAGCCACTATTTTACTCATTTTTTAGGATTATCCATACTCTTCATTGAAAAGAACTTCCTGCAATTTATTTGTAATCTTTTTACTTTGTCAAAAAACTGTGAACATGTCATGTCAAAGTTGAACTTATAGGAAATCAGAGCTTAAACTGTGTTTTCTGAGTTAAAACTACAGTCCTGTGACCATATGTTATACATAATAGAAAGGTCTCTCTATATCGGAGCTGATGTTGCAGGCAAACAAAGGATGTATTCAACAACATGCATGAGATTAGCAACTTAAATACTAGTTACACTGAAGTGATTTCACAGTTGAGCCCAATCTTCTTCATAAATGATTCCTTTCTCCTTCCAGTCTTTGTTTCTAGCAGTCAAGCATAAATTGCATTGCTAAAGTCAAATTATCGCATTTCTGCTCAACAAAGCTAAGGAAACATATTATTAGGAAATTTTTTTTGTTTACATTTCCTAACCTGTTTAACTCCAGAAGAAATAATGAGAAACTGGCCAGGAAGCAGAGACAAGGACTGAAAATCAGGACTGTCCCGGTCAAACCGGGACATGTGGTAAACCTACACTTACAGTATGCCTCTTCCAGTTACTTTGGTGTGTAGTGATTGTTTATCAGACCATAACTTACAGCCCAGAGAAGAACAGCACAAAAACAGTAACCGGATGCCCAGGTGTACACCCGCTAAAATATTATTCAGCACCCGTGTCATATTGTATCACGCCATAAGGGTGCCGAATAATTTTTATTGGGTGTACAGTATGTATGTATGTATGTATGTATGTATGTATGTATGTATGCAATGTACGAATGTATATATGTACACCCACTAAAAAATTATCCTTCACCCTTACGGCGTGATGCAATATGACATGGGTGCTTAATAATTTTTAGTGGGTGTACACCCTAATAAGTTGACCCAGCCTTCGTAATTAAAGTGAGATTAAGACCTGACCCAGCAGAGGTCACGGTCACAATGAAACAGAGTTCTCACCACCGCTTGATTAGACAAACCGACAACATGACCGTGTTAACTCAAGAAACTACATTCCAGCCCACACCACGCACCTGATCAAACACAGCTGTCGCGACACACCCAGATTAGTGTTAATTAGTGACGACATCTGCCGGCCTGACACCGCCAATATAAGGGGCCGACAGCTCCTTCCCAGCATCAGACACACAGGGAGAGTCAGAACTCAGAGGCAGATGGGGTCACACTCATTACAAGTCAAGGTCGGGAGGAGGTCTTCCTTCCCTAGCAAAGAGTCCCCAGCTAGCAGAGTCTCTCACAGGAGACAGAGTCCAGCACCTGCCGGGACCACTCTCTTCAGCAGCACATGCAGACAGATTCCCCAGCCGCTGGGCCTCCCTCAGGTCACACATGAGTCATTGTCAGAGCGATCCATAGGGTGACTTACTTATGGTGGGAAGTGTATCCATTTCATGTTGTGTCCAGGAGTCATTGTCTAGTAACGTCGATATATTTTTTAATGTGTCCATGTCTTTCAGTTTACTAATAAATAGCTGTACTTGGAAATGTTGTTTAGAGGCTTTCCCCTAAGAATATAATACCAAATTAACTAACTAATAGGCCACGCTAACAAACTTTCCTCACTTTACAATCGTTCTGCTATAAAGTCTTTACTTTCTATGTAAGTTTCTCTCATTACAAATGATAATAAGACAGTATTTGCATTGGTCCAGTGTATATAATCATTACTATTTTATCGCCATTGTCTACGCTTGTTGGACAAGCAGTGATTACTTGATGACAGTTATCCATGCTGCACGGTCTCTTGCAACATCTTTCGTCAGGTTTTTACCTCTGAGATTGTTTATTACAGCCTATCCCATGTTATTTTAGGCCTACTCTTAGCTCTCCTCTCCTCCATATTGAAACTCAAGCATCTCCTGACCCAATTGGTTTCCTACATTCTCTCCACATGCCTGAACCATTTCAGTGTACCTCTACACAAAACCTCGTCAATACTCTTATTACCCAGCCGCCCTCTTAGCTCTGAACAAGTTTTTTTTTTATCTTTCAGTAATACAAAATAACTTATCCATCTTATCACCGTCATTTGAGCTCACTGAAGCCTACAATATGTCATCTCCTTTAATTTTTCATGTTTCACTGCCATATAACATCCCATTTCTCATGCCGGCTACATACATGCTTCCTTTCACACGGAAAGAAGGTTGTTTTGCCATCAATTAAAGCAACATCTCCTCGACGCAGTTCAGCCATATTAAGACCACATTCTGCCATCTGCACAACTGCACCTCTTATGTACCCACCATACACATTCACTGCACATTATTGAGTTGTTGCCAACACCTTTCTTACAGACAGCATATGACTATTTCCCACTTTCCACCACAGGTCCTTCACCCACAGCACTCTTATACCCTTTGACTCCATTCTATCCTTCCATTTTTTTTTAATTTTCCACTATCTCTTCAATACTAAACACTAAATCGTCAATATAAAGAACGCCCAGGGCAGACCAGTCCAAAAATTTCGCGACAATGCCTCAAACACCATGATGAACAGTAGACCCTTGATGGGCCCCTAATGTCACCTTAAATTCCTCGTCATTTTCTCTCACAGAAATTCCTGAGTCCACCAAATATAAAACCAGAACCACTTATGTAAGACACACCTCGACCCCTTCCTTACTTTCTCATTGCCCACTTTACTACCTCACGTGGTAACAAGTCAAATGCCTTCTCTAAGTCTACAGATACAAAGTACAGGTTTCTCTTCTTTCCTAAGTAATCATAGACAATAAAGCAAGACAATTTTTTAACCTTCATAGTAGAGTACCTCAGGCAGCAACATCTCGGCCACACTTTATACTATATGCACTAGACACGCCAAAAGCCAGAAACTCAAAAT